TGGGAAGTTAGAGCCTTGGAAATTTGTGATCACTCATGTGAGCAGTGGACACGCCTCTTTCTTAGAAGCGATGTGGGCTCTACCTGAGTCAGTGAACGTGAAGATTACTCAGAACTCATAAAACTGTGGTGTTCAAAGTATTTACCTTTTAAAGTATTTGTAGCCAGGACTTAAAACGGGAGTGGAGTGCAGGTGGGAGTTCACTGGAGTACACACTTTTACTTGGAGAACTGAAGGGATTGTGTTTTGTCTGTTTAGAGGGACTTTACTCAAGGTAAGAAAATATTTTGGTTCAGACAGTGAGTGACAATACTATAGTAGATTTTTACAATACATTTGCCGCAGTTAATGTGTAAAAAGTAGGGATGTAACGATATCAAAATCTCTTGGTATGATATTTATTGCGATATGTTGTGGAGGCTTACAATACTTTTCCTTGCCTTGAAACGCCTTTGGTACTGTTGTAATACGAAGGATTAAGATTTAAAAGTGCTTAACAAGTTATTTCTTCATGTAATCTGCACTGATGACCAAAAGGATCATGGTCTATGTAGTTCCCTCTTTTTATTTTTTATTTTTTTTAGCTTCTGCTGCACCACAGCAAGGAAACGAGTGTATTTGTATGGCACAATTCAAACACAAAGTAATTCAAAGAGCTTTAGACATTAAAAGACACTAAAATCTAAAATTAAAATTAAAAAACACTAAAATAAGACACTAGAAAAACAGTAAAATCACCATAAGTGTTCATTTAAGCAAAGAGACTTGTAATTTGATATATTGAAAGATATATATTGACACTTTTGACGATACAATATCACAATATTTCGGTTATTGTTACATCCCTATTAAAAAGATTATAGAACAGTAATATCTGACTTAGAATTTTAACTTAATATCAAAGCAAATAAATTACAACCAGTTACACGTACGGGTGTAACGATATCCAAGTCTCACGATGCGATATAATCACGGTATGAACCTCACGGTACAATATTTATTGCGATAATCTGGGAAAGCTCATAATTAGGGATGTAACAATATCTAAATCTCTCTATACATCTCACAGTATAATATTTATTGCGATTTAAGGTTGGGTATCATTAAGAAGTTGCCGATACGATACATACCTCGATACATAGGCCATGATATGATAAATATACACATACAGTGCACTTTCGGTTCGATACGATATATTTCAAATCATTTCGATACAGTTCAGTAAATGATAAAGGCTAAATCATGGCTGTGATACTAAAAGTCTTTGTTAAACCACTTCTTGTGCAAAGTTCATATGAAACACACCCATTTTAATCATCAAAACTGTGAAAATGTCATATGTGTCGCATAAATGAGTTTCCTTCCTTCCTTCAAAACTGTAGCTGTAACTAAACGATTTTGTAAAATACACCAAAAAATACTTCTTGGCGATATCGATACAGCAACTCACGATATCGAATCCGAAGAACTAAGACTTAAAAGTGCTTAGAACTGTTATTTCTTCTTGTAGTCTGCACTGAAATTGAGCAAAGGATCATGGTCTATGTAGTTCCCTCTGTCTTTTTTTAGCTATTGCTGCACCATAACTCTTAGTTTAAGCAAAGAGACTTGTAATTCGATATATTGTCATGATTGAACAAAGCCGAGTCACCGTGAACGCGCCAAACAAGGTCAGACTGACTTATCTAACTGTTGTGTTTTGTTTAAAGTCCAGTGTGGTTTATTTGTGAAAAAAGTTAGAAAATAGACCATTTAATGACAGTGCGCCTTATAATCCAGAGCGCCTAATAGTGCGGAAAATACGGTACACGACTGATTTAATATAAAATGCAATCTAAAATCTGTAGTTTGGAAAAAACGTGCATATGATGGAGTAAAAATGGACCCCTGTTAAAAGCACTCGAGCCCGAAATAGAGTGGAGTGTGGTATGTAGGAAATTCCCTTTGCTGAGAGCGTGTCCCATTATAGAACATATTGTGTGGTAAATAATGCATTGTGGAGTTGTATTTGTGCTTCATACGCGAAACGCAGCTCAACCAACTGAGATTATAGCCATTACTCTGTCTGGAATGTTCCACAGTATGACTTTAAACAGCTCTACTTTACATTTACTCAATTCCACGTGTTTCTATAGCTCAAAAATACCTAGAAAACCAGGCATTCTGACTGTGAGCGGGGTCGCCTCTCCACAGATCTGACCTGTAACTTGCTCTGGTTTGGTTTCCATGGAGATAGAATAGAAAGGTTTAATGCCATGCTGTGAAACATGCCAGACAAAGCCTTCAGAGAAAAGCTTTTAACAGACCCTCCGCCAGAAAAGTAACACACTGCACCTTTAAGTTTATATTTGGAGAGGCATTTCATTTTTTATTTATTTAATCATTGAGCTGTAGCAAATGTATTTCTGTTCATTAATTATTTACCATCAATAAAACCTTTTGATAATTCTTGCCAGGAATCACAATCGCAGAAGATGAAGCAACATGTGGAGGAAAATACAGCACCTTCTTATGTTAGATTTGTCTTTATTTTGGCTTTAGAGAGTTTTAGTAAAAGTGCACTGCGTAACTTTTCAGGTGGGGGTTCCTTACTGTAGAGATGTTATTGCTTTGTCTGTTATGTTCCACAATATGGTATTAAACGGTGTTATTATTGCTCAAATATCCCTGTAAATTGGCCTGGTGTTGTCTCCTGTTTCATTCTATGGAGATTAAAAAGTTTAATGCCATACTTTGGAATATTTGAGGTAAAGTAACTGGTGCGCCGTCTACCAGTACAGATGGACACAAGCAGGTTACAGCACTACGTTACATTAAAGGCCAGATCTGTGGAGAGTCGCCTCTGTAATTTTGAGCAATAGAGACACCTTTAATGAATAAATGCTGGATGGTTATGTTTAAAGTTATACCATGGAACATTCCCGGCAGCGGACTCCACCATAAAAGTTGCACAGTGCATCTTTAAACAACTATTCCAGCAACAGTCAAAAAGTGTTTCCTTAAGATATGATTTCTGACATATAGCACAGAAATTCCTTTTAGTTTTAAAACCAAATCCACTTTATTTATATATACATTTTTTAAATAAATGAAACTTAGTTTTGTATAATTTGTGTTTGTAAACATTTGCCTGTCGAAAGTTTGGACACACTATCTCATTCAGTGTTTTATTTATTTTTACTACTTTCTATAGTTTCGATACACACAGAAGATATCAAATATATGAAGCAAGAAAGATGGAATTGTTATTTAATGTTTTCTTAAGCCCCACTTGTATCTCTGGCTTTTAACACTGCGTGAATTGTGTGGTCCTCTTTGTTTTTTTATTTTACTTATTTACTGCTATTTTATCATTTGTATGGTTTTGCTTTTATTTGATTTTACTGGTTTTATTATTTTAGATGATCACATTTTAGCAATTTACCTGACCATTTTATGATCTCTGTGCAGCATTTTAGAAATGGCTTTGTTTGTAAAATGTGCTACAGAAATAAAGTGCATTTGTATTTTTTCTTTACTAAATATTTTTTGACAGAGCAAAAGATGGAAAAGATGAAGATTTAGATTTTGAAATATAAAAAAAAAAATTTGTAGAGTTATTTCTGGGCTGGGATGAGATACAAGATTAGGTCCATGAGAACGAGTTGATGTTTTAAAAATGTGTGATCCTGTTTGCAGTTTTGGTGTAATATTTTTGTATTTAATATTTTTGTTCTAATTGTAGCCCTATGTTTTGAAACCACAGCTTCATAAGTGATGTAACTTAACAGCCCTCAAGGCTTTTTTTGTCTAATCGAAATGTAAACTAAATGGAAAAGAATGTCACAAGATCATTTTTCTGATGTGTGCACAGTCTTGAGGCAGTTTTATCTTGTGAAACGAGATCTTGTCCCATCCCTAGTTTCACTTTTTTTTCTTTGCTACATAATTCCATAAATCTTACTTCATACATGTGATGTCTTCTGTGTGAATACCAAATGTAGAAAGTACCGTATTTTCTGAACTATAACTCGCTCCGGAGTATAAGTCACACCAGCCAAAAAATGTGCAATGAAGAAGAACAAAACATACAAGTCGCACTTTTTGGGAACTTTATTTTATAAAATCAGAGACCAGGAACAGACATTTCATCTTGAAAGTCAAATTATAGTAAAAACAATAGAACAGAGAACAACAGACTGTTAATGTCACATATGAACAGTTTTTCAGATAAATATAGTATAAACAACAGAACAGAACAAGTTTACCAAACTCTCCATCTCACTCCAAATCACTAAATCTATTGAATTCTTCAACATCAGTGTCACGTTTGAGCAACTCCGCGACCTCCGGAGGTAAACGGAGCGCTGCTTCCACTTCCGCTTCTGCGTAGCTTTTGTCTGACTTCGCATTAGCCGAGGCACTGAAGTCCAGGCTTTGTCGATCCATCCAATGACTTCCAGGAAAGTTGCATGGTGCACCCTCCCGGTCGTCACAAGTTTCTCGCTCACTCCAAACTTTCTTTCTGCTGCTGGATTACCGTTTTCAGCTGCAGATTTCGCTACTTGCAGCTTGTAATCTGCAAAATATGATTTTCTTTTTGGGGGCATTTGTGTTCTGTCTCCTCAGTTGTCTTGATAAGTTTGTTTTAAATTGTAAATTTTCAGTGGTTCAGAAGTAATGATGGTGTGATTGACTGACATGATACAGACAGGACAGAGGCTCTTTCTGCAGGAGACATGCGCAGTAGAGTGAAGTGACAGAGATACAGGAGTAATAGGAGCAGCAGATACTGACACACAAGACTAGAGCCTCTCATGGCTGTCAGTGTGAAAATTTTAATATATAAGCCGCTCCAGAGTATAAGTCACAGGAAACACCCAAACCATGAAAAAACTGTGATGTATAGTCTGAAAAATACTGTAGAAAAATATAGAAAAATCATGGAATGAGAGGTTGAGTCCAAACATCTTCTCGTCTAAACTGCTTTTAACCAAAATCTTTCTATTTTTTCTTCACAGAATTTGACATCACTGACCCCTCTGACCTACCTGGAATCCCCCTCCTTTCAAAAATGCGCTCGAGCGTGGACGCCGCCATGAGCCAAAACGGCCGCCACAGCACCGCCACCAGCACCACCGTCAACAACGCCAACACGGGGAACTCGGGCTCCCAGTACGCCCTCTGTGCCCTGGGCGTGGGGCTGGTGGCGCTGGGCATCGTCATGATTGTGTGGAGCGTCGTGCCAGTTGATCCCCCTAGCAACAACAGCGTGAACTACGATCCCGACCCGACCGGGAAGAAGAGCAAAGCGTCGTCCGTGGCGTTCGTTTTGGTCGGGTCCGGGGTGGCGGTGCTGCTTCTGTCCATGTGTTTGGGAATGAGGAACAAGCAGAGGGAGCAGCAGTATCTACAGCAGCAGCGACAGGCTCAGACCCAAGCGGCTACAGGGCAAACTGACGCTGAAACGTAAGTAGTTTTATTCTAAAGCCTCACTGTGGAATATTTCTGGTGGGTGTGTGGAAAGTAGGGAAGTTGGTATTTTCACAATATGCTTGAAATTGTACAAACTATACTACTTTTTAATTTTTAAATGCCTTGAAAAAGACGTTAGTTTTGTCATAAACCAAAGAATTAAGATTTAAAAATATGTAAAAAGTTATTTCAATGTGTAAATTGGACTGAAACTGTTTCTTTTCGCTATTTCTGCACCATTTCTGCACCATAACAATTAATTTAATCAAAGAGAATTGAGATTCGATGTATTGTGATGGCCCACGATATTATTGACTTCTGACGATGCGTATCAGTTTTTAAAAACATTTTTGGAGTAGGGGAAATGTAGAATTTTCTTAAAACGAACTTGTTCAGTTTGACTTTTCACACAGTTTGAGTTTCAGAACAGTATTAGATTCTGTTTTTATTCATATTGTTGTTTTTTTATTGTTTTTTTATTATTTATTTAATTATATTCTGTAGCACTTTGGTCACTGTGTTGTTTTTGTCCGTTTGTGTCCGTTGTCACGTGACGCTCATAAGAGAGACCAAGACAAGACGGCAAGTAAAGCCGCAAGCGAGTTGGTCCCTTCCCCCCAGAAAAATACTAGTACTTCTGCAATTTGGCTGCATTCTGGCTTCAGGCACACATTTGTTTACGTTTTGCAGAAATTAAACTTAAGACCACATGGCTCATTTGCATAAATTATAAAGCACAGATAAAAACAGCTCTTTCCTTGTCCTTTCCTTTCCTTGACTAAAGGACACAACTCAGTGGAATATGAGTGTTCTTTCTGTGACAGAAGATGTGCTGATGGGGAGTCTGTTCTGTGCCGTACAGCAGTGCAGCTTCGTAGTTTACCAAAGTCTTACTAAAACATTTTGGCAAAACAGTAATACCGTATACCCCGGTAAAATCTAAGTTTTTGTAACAGGAAAAATCTGATATTTGGGGAAAATGATCATATGGGGTAGTAATATAGAATCCTGACTTTTTGAGAGAGACCTTCATGCAGATTTGCAACATTGGTTCGGTGTAGTAAATTAACACTGAATTTGTATACCACTTTTCATAACAAAGAAAACAAAAAGCACAGTGTAACAGCTTTACAGTGGCAGAACAACAATCAAAACAACTTGGTATAGATCATTTCTTCGTGCGGTACTCCAAGAAACAATGTTTATCCTTTGTAAAGCACAAAATTACCGTATTTTCCGGGCTATTAGGCGCTCTGGATTATAAGTCGCACTGTCATTAAATGGTCTATTTTCGAACTTTTTTCACAAATAAACTGCACCGGACTTTAAACGAAACACAACAGTTGGATGGGTCAGTGGGACTTTGTTTGTGGCGTTCACGGTGACTCTGGGCTTTGTTCAGTTGTGGCGTGTAGGAAGGGTGCTGTCTGTGACCCCTGGATTGTCGGCGTGTTCGCAGTGACTCAGTTGTTCAGTTGTGACTCAGAAAGGCACATTGGACTCACTTTTTCAGTTCGTTCCTCCGTTCCGTTCCTCGTCGGCGTGGAGTGATGAGTGTGGCAGCGGGTGTGTTTCGTTGCGCAGTCGCTGTCTGCTCCGTGCGTGTTTGCGTGCGCTGCGGGTGGTGCAGCTTTATAGTTTACTGAAGTCATGATGGGACACCCGAGTGGATTCGTGTATGGGGTGGCATTGCGCGCGGTTGTTTTTTGATGCAGTTAGATGCTTAAGACCGCATCTGATAACCCGGAAAAAACGGGACTTTGCACTTCTGGCAGGCCGTTTGCGTGTAGCCATTCTTGCACAGTCAGCATCATCCATGTTTATCAGCATGGATGGGGAAAAAAGGCTTGTGACGCCTGCCTGGAGAGGGTTAACGGTATAAAAGTTTGGATACCACCCAACCCTAGTATGGACAACATTCATCCAATCCTCAAGGCAAGGAACTTCATCATTAAGCCATTTTCTTGTAATACACTTCTTTCCAGCATATTTTTTCTCTTGTTCTATAAGATGAGCAGATACAGTGTCTCAAAATTGTGTGTGGTTTTTATTTTATTTTTTTCTTTAATTCAAGAACATTATAAACACAAACAACGAACCAGTTTAGTCTAATATTTGAAGCTTTTAATTAAAGTTTAAAGAGGTGTTGATGGCAGCAAAAGTGGAGTTCAAAGTTCAAGGCTTCTGCGATGACTGTAAGAGGTGTGGACTGTATAAGGGGTCAGAGGTCAGCTGTCCTTTCTGGTAACATCTGTATTTTTGTGTGAAGATTAACCACATTTATATACACATTATGAGAAATGGTTTTAAAGTAGAGCAAACGCAGTAGAGCTATGACAGGATCTTGTATCTCGCGTTACGTAACTTCGGTGGTTCTTCAGGCTCTTTCCTCACATTGTCATCAAACAGCGTTACGTCATAGCTTCTTGTGACATTGTTGTTTTCAAGTGTTAATCCTACTGTAACACTACCGGATTTGATTTCAACATGCACACAACAAACATAAACATATCGGAGTTGTGTAATTAATGTTGAGTTTTAGCGCTGATGCTGATTTCTGAGCCAGTTCTGATCAGATTTTTGTCCTTCTCTTCTCTATTTGCAGATTTTATTGTTTTCAAATCCATATCAAGGCCTCACTTTTGTAAAACTAGACTAAATCATGCATAAAAACAATAACAAAATGTGTGTACCTGGGGTTTAAAACAATAAGTTGCATGATTCTGTGAACATACTGGCACATTTTAGTCGATTTTTGTTTCACTCTTTCAGTCAGTATTTGGCAAATTGTAGTTATACACAGATTTTATGGCCTTCCTGGATTCTGTTTACATTTTTACTAATTCAGTAAAGACAAAACATTACACAAATGACAATGTATCAGTGACAAATATCTGCAAAATTTCTAATAACTGACCAGTACCGATATCTGGGAAAACACTTCGATATCGCTGACGCTGTACTGAAGCTTGTCTATCGCCCATTCTCAGATTATTCTCATTCTGGCCTCCTTGTCACGCCTCATCTCGTCAGGTTAGGACTTGCATGGGAGACCACAGGGAATTCCAGGTGCCACGGGGGGAGCAGTGGTGAAAAACTGTTGCTGTGTCCTTCGGCAAGACACTTCACTCACATTGCCTTGTGTGAAAGTAGCGTGTGCGTGAGTGTTGGTGGTGGTCGAAGGGGCCGGTGAGGCAGATTGGGAGCCTCGCTTTGGTCAGTCTGTCTGAGGGCAGGAGTGGCTACAATGGTATCTTTAAAGGCACTATATAAATTCAGTGATTAATGAATAAATTAATCCCTAATTAGAGTTTGTACAGTATAGCCCAGAGGTGTAACTCGGGGTCTGTCTATCAGCTCTTTACCCCCTTCCAAGTAGCTCATCCAGGGATTTCTGAATTGCCATATTTTTTGAACTGTAAGTCACTCTGGAGTATAAGTCACACAAGCCAAAAATACACAATGAAGAAGAAAAAAAAAGTCACACTGGACTATAAGTTGCACTTTTTGGGGGTAATTTATTTTATAAAATCAGAGACCAAGAAGGCAAGTTATAGTAAAAACAATAGAACAGAGAACAACAGACTGTTAACGTCGCATATGAACAGTTCTTCAGATAAACTATAACATAAACAACAGAACAGAACATGTTTAATCAAACTCTCCATCTCACTCCAAATCACTAAATCTATTGAATTCTTCATCTTCGGTGTCACTTTTGAGCAAGCTGCACGACCTCCAGAGGTAAATAGAACGCAACTTCCTCTTCTGTGTAGCTGTTGTTCAGACTCGGCTTCAGTTCCAGTTAGAATTATTCCGGCCTTTCTGAATCCTGACAGGATGGTTTCGCTTGTCTTTATAAGTTTGATTAAATAAAAAAAATTTCAGACAGGACAGAGGCTCTTTCTGCAGGAGACATGCGCAGTAGAGCCAAGTGACAGTGATACAGGAGTAATGGGAGTAGCAGATACTGACACTCAAGCCTAGAGCGCCAAAGTATAAGTTGCAGGACCACCTAAACCATGAAAAAAAGTGCGACTTATAATCCAATAAATACAGTATACATATTGTACTGAATGACTGAACTATCATTATAAATGTGCCATTTGAATGCCTAACTTTGTGCACTAATAAATGGATAAAGGTTTCTGTTTTATAGGCATCTAACTGTTCTCCATCTAAGCCTTTCCTATGCCTAATTTCTGCTAATGACCTCTAAAATTAGTAGCTCTTTGGCATTTTCTTTTTTTAAAGGCAGCTCACCAGAAGAAAGAGGTTGGAGACTCCTGGTGAAGCCATTTCTGTCACTAATGTCTCTCCCCCCTTTCACTCTCTCCCCTCCAGAGCCGAGGAGCAGGCCCAGCGCTACGCCGTGCCCACCTACGAGGAGGCGGTTGGCAGCGGGCAGTACCCGGTCCGACAGAGCAACCTGCGCCCCAGCGTCTCCCAGCTGCCCTCCTACGAAGACCTGGTGCCCCCGGACAACCTGCAGTACGAGTCCGAGGGAGCCAGCGCCAACACCATCACCGCCACCGTAAACGAGCAGCCCGCAAACGCCAACCGCAAACTGGGTAAAAACAAACTCCTGCCCATCAAGATTCGAAGGATAAAATCGGAAAAAATCCGCATCAATGACGGCGAAATACCCCAAGCGCCAACGCACATAAGTATAGAACCGCTAACCCCGCCGCCACAGTATGAAGACAAAGTGCCTCCGCTTTAAACGTTGGTAATATTTGTGTTTGAAATTTCAATCATCTGCCATTTTGAGCCGAGACTTTGACTATGGACAAACCAAATGGCACTTTATATAAAACGATATCTTGAAACACAGCACCAGACTTTTTCAAAGCACTGAATGGTTAAAAAGGAAATTACGGACAGCAGATAGTGCCAAAAGACAATGAAAATTCAAGTGCACTTTTAAGCTGGACTTTACGGTAATGAGAGAAGCAAACGGCAAGGATATAAGCTTTTGCACCAAACTTCACCAGCTTGACGGATTCTGTGCTCTTTTTCGCTGTTTTTCTTTAAGTAAAGGCAAAAATATGGGATGTTTGAAACTCTAAGAACTTGGTTTGCACACACAAAATCAGGGCTGACCCCAATTTACTTTTAAAAATGAAATAAATGGATAATAATTGCATGTTTTTATAGAATTCAGTTGATTCTGACAAAGAGTATTGGACAAATTCAGATTTTATGCCAGATATTTGCTAAATACTTCATCATAATTCAACATATTTTATCCAAGATGCCCTTCTTGGATACTTGCAGAATACTAAATCATATGTCAACATAAAATTTTATGCCAGATTCTAGGGATGTAACAATAACCAAAATATCGTGATATTGTATCGTCAAAAGTCTCACAATATATCGAATTACAAAATCCTTTGTTTAAATGCATTGTTTTGTGGTACCAATAGCTAATAAACATCAAAAACTACATATCCCATGATGCATTTCAGTGCAGACAACATGAATAAATATGTTTTACTTGAATTCTTGGGATTATGATGGGAGTGTTTCACATCAAAATCTTACCAGGGTATTTTAAAAGCAAAAAAGCGTCCTGTCTACAATTATATCAGCTGCTCCAAAATATCGCAATAAATATCGTACCGTGAGATTTGGATATCGTTACATCCCTACCAGATGCCCTTCCTGTCAACAGATAACTATTTATTGCGCACATGTTGTGTATTTTCTTACCTAATTTGACTCAGGAAGTGCCCGCTCTCCACCGATCCAATCTCGTTGTTTATACAAGTATATGGAGCTGGATTTTTACATTTTTCACCTTGTTTACAAATGTCTTTCAAGTCTCCTGTTTCAGTGTCTTTCAAAATATTTTGATTGATTTGATTGATTTTTTTTTTTTTTTATATGTTGTGCCGTCTATTTCATTAGAATTATGTTACTCCAATACATGTTTTTTCAAGAATTTGCTATTTTGAAGTGCCATTTTGTTACATTGGTGCTGTTGGCAAACTAAGAATCCGTGTATCTCGTTCATTTTCAATATAAAACCAAAAATAAGAAAACAAAAAAAAAAAATTTCTTCATTATTTGTCTCCAAAACCAAAATAGAAAAAACGGATAACGATTTGTTTTTTCAGTTTACGATTTTGTGTTTAAATGAATAATGGTAAAAAACGGATAACGGCCGTTTCCGGTTTTCGTGACTTAAACAGCAATGCCAAACTGAACCAGGACTAAAACAGGACTTGAACAGGTGTAAACCAGCTCTGAACCAGAATTGAAAAGGGACTAAACCAGGTCTCAGTCCCGGGCTGGTCCCAGTTTGGTCCCGGTTTCCTAATCACCCAACAGTCTACGTGGGCGCATGTCCGGGCCAGTCCCGACATTCCTGTTTCAGTCCTGTTTCAGTCCTGTTTCAGTCCTGTTTCAGTCCTGTTTCAATCCTGTTTCAGTCCTGGTCTAGTCCTGGTCTAGTCCTGGTCTAGTCCTGGTTTAGGACTGAGACCAGGGCCAGACCAGGACCAGCACCTGAAGTGAGACTGAGACCCGGTTTAGACCCGGTTTAGACCCGGTTTAGACCCGGTTTAGACCCGGTTTAGACCCGTTTAGACCCGGTTCAGTCCGGCATCGCAGTTTAAGTCACGGAAATGGGAAACGTCCGTTATCCGTTTTTTCCATTCTTCATTTAAACACAAAATCGAAAAATGAAAAACAAATTGTTATACGTTTTTTCATTTTGGTTTTGGAGACAAATAATGAAGAAAACTGTTGTTTTTTCAATTTTCTTATTTTTGGTTTTATATTGGAAAACAAATGAACGATACACGGATTTGTAAGCAATGTAACAGTCGTTTTCTATTCTAGTTTTCTATTCTATGTTTGAATTTGGCACTTTAGAAATCAGTTTAATACCTCTTGCTGTAAAAAATGGAGCCTAACCTGTTTTAATTTGCATGTATAGACTGGAAATAGACTTGCCTTGAAGGTGCGTTGCGTAACTTTTCGAGTGGAGGGTCCGTCATCGCTTTGTCTGGAATGTTTCACAGTGTGGCATTAAACCTTTCTATCTTCACGGAGACCAAACCAAGTTGCAGGTCAGATCTGTGGAGAGGCGACCCCGCTCACAGCCAGAACGCCTGTTTTTCAAGTTATTTTTGAGCAGCTGTGATTGAATAAATGTAAGGTAGAGCTGTTTAAAGTCATACCGTGGAACATTCCAAGCAGAGCGATGACATATCCAGAGAAACGAGGACAAAACAGACCCCCTATCCAAAAAGTTACATAGTGCACCTTTTTTAAATATGCTGTTTGTAAGTACATTTTCAACGAAGTAAACTTTTGTATTGTATTGCTAGTACTATGCACAGCCAACATTACACAGTGTAGCTTTAACGGCAAGTCGGCGGCGCTTCGAGGTTAATGAAAGTCGTACCCTCAGGTGTTTTCCGGACCAAGGCATTTGCAGTTCACCAATAACGAGAAATCATGTCCTGGAAAATAAATGACTGACATTCCCATTACGTTTTATAGTCCACTGCAGTGTTATTGTAATCTGAAATGCTTCTAGGAAAGAAAGCTTCAAGTGCCTCTTTTAAAACGCAGATTACCGTCCACAACATTACGACAACCTGCCTCTGTCCTCTTTTGGTGTATGCAGATTTTTTCCGTTTTCCATTACGAGTACAATCCCCGGGTTTCAAAGCAATGCAAAAGTAAGCGCCGTGTTTATTTACATTTCAAAATAAAATAGTATAGCTTTTGAATGGTCATACGTGCTCAAAATGTCGCCTTAAAAGTTAGAAGTCTGTGATTCACAAAAGCTTGGTTTACAATACTTTTTATGCAATGTTGACGCGACATTCAAAATCATTATCTTAAACTAGAATATATAGCCTAATAATGTTCAGAAATTCAAAAAAACTATTTGTGAAAACCTTTTTTTTTTTTTTTTTTTTTTTCTCCCCCCCAGACGGTTTTTGCAGTCAGTTCCAGGCTTGTGTCTCGCTTTCTGGTACTGACACAAAATACCAGTAGTTGTATAATTTTTATCAAGTTTTAAAAATCTGTATATCATTTGTTTTTCAATATAAAACCAAAAATAAGAAACTGAAAAAACAACTATTTTCTCATTTTCTCTCATTATTTGTCTCTAAAACCAAAATGAAAAATGGATAATGATTCGTGTTTTCAGTCCCAGTCTCAGTCCCGATCTGGTCCCGGTTTCAATTCCGGTCTGGTCCCAGTCTCAGTCCTGGTCCTGTTCCCGGTCTCAGTCCCGGTCTCAGTCTCGGCCTCAGTCCTGGCCTCAGTCTCGGTCTGGTCCCAGTCTCTGTCCTGGTCCTGTTCCCGGTCTCAGTCCCGGTCTCAGTCCCGGTCTCAGTCTCGGCCTCAGTCTCGGTCTCAGTCATGGTCTGGTCCCAGTCTCAGTCCTGGTCCTGTTCCCGGTCTTAGTCCTCATCTAGTCCTGATCTCAGTCCCACTCTCAGTCCCAGTCTGGTGCCGGTCTGGTCCTGGACCTAGTTTAGTCCTGGTTTAGTCCTGCTTGAGTCCGTATGCGACGCAAATGTCCCTTTTTTTTTTTTCCATTTTTTTTTTTATTTTTTTCTGTTATCCATTTTTTCCATTATTCATTTAAACACAAAATTGAAAACTGAAAAAAAAAAAAAAGAATTGTTATCAATTTTTTCATTTTGGTTTTAGAGACAAATAATGAAGAAAACAGTTTTTTTCATTTTCTTATTTTTGGTTTTATATTGAAAAACGAATGATACACGGATTTTTAAACCCCATAAAAGTTTTATTTGACATTGAAATACCATATAACTGAAGAATACTGTTTGACCATCTGACTTCAATACTCTTACACATTTAAAGCTGCATTGTGTAACTTTTCTAGTGGAGATTTTATTATTTTTGTCTGGTATTGAAGTTTTCTATCTTAATGGAGACCAAACCAGACCAAGTTACAGGTCAGATCTGTGGAGAGGCGACCCCAATCACAGCCAGAATGAGTGTTTTTCTACGTATTTTGAGCAACAAAACCAGCTGTAATTGAATAAATGTCATACTGTGGAACATTCCAGACAAAGCAACAACATCTCCGTGAAGAAAAGCGTTTGACGGAGAAGTTACACAATGCCCCGTTTAAGTGTTTCGTATTCTTAACCACAGAACAGTGGAGAAGTAAAGGGTATGCGAATAGTCTGAAGTATTTGCCCTGTCACCATGGCGAGATGACCCCAGAGCACAGAGGCCCATTCACGGTGCAGCTGTGGCCAACCATGTCCTTCATCGTCATTCTTTATTTAATGCGTAAAGCTATGCAAAGAATCAACTGGGCTAATGAAGAATGGACTACAGACTTACAAAAAGTATTTATCAGGGGATGGAACGAGACACAATTTCCACAAGATACGAGGTTGGGCCCACAAGAATGAAGACAAGACAAGATTCTAACACGATTCCTAATATGTAAATTTCATTATTCTGTTTCCAGTTTTGGCCTCACAATTTTGTATTTAATTGAGTTAATATTTTTGTTGCCATTCTGAATCCCTGTATCATTCGTTCATTCGTTTAAAAAAAAACGGAAAAAAAACCCCAACAGTTTTCTTGATTATTTGTCTCCAAAACTAAAATGAAAAAAACAATAATGATTAGTTTTTTCAGTTTTCGATTTTGTGTTTAAATGAAGAATGGAAAAAATAGATGACGCCCGTTTCCAGTTTACGTGACTGCCGTGACTGCGATGCCGGACTTTTACACTGCATATGGACTGAACTAGGACTGATCCAGGTCCGGGGCTGAGATCGGGCTGAGATCGGGGCTGAGATCGGGACTAGACTGGAGGCTCAGAGCCCACGGCCGGACCGGAGCTTGAAGCTGAGGCTCGAACCCTGCAGAGGCTCGGGTCCCACTCTGGTCCCGCTCTGGTTCCGCTCTGGTTCCGCTCTGGTTCCACTCTGGTCCCACTCTGGTCCCGCTCTGGTCCCGCTCTGGTCCCACTCTGGTCCACTCTGGTCCCACTCTGGTCCCACTCTGGTCCCGCTCTGGTTCCACTCTGGTCCCGGACCTGGATCAGTCCTGGTTCGTCTGCAGTGCAAAAGTCCGGCATCACAGTCACGGAAATCTCGTAAACGGGAAACGGCCTTTATCTGTTTTTTTTTTCCATTCTTCATATAAACACAAAATCGAAAACTGAAAAAATGAATCATTATCAGTTTTTTACATTTTGGTTTTGGAGACAAATAATTAAGAAAACTGTTGTTTTTTTCATTTTCTTATTTTGGATTTTATATTGAAAAACAAATGAACAAATGATACACGGATTATTCTTGTGCTGCTTTTTGGTACTGTTTTTGTCCAACACTTGGAAAAAAATCTCACAAGATAATTTTTCGCTTGTGTGCACGATCTTGTGGCAATTTTGTGATCTTGTCCCATTCCTAGTGTCTATAAAGCATTGAAATCTGGTTAGTTCAAACTTACAAGAACATGTTTTTCTTAAGATTCATATCTACGTAAATTGAAATGACTTAAATTAAGAACATTTTACTTTATTTGCTTTATTAGAATCAACTTGGCAAGTAAAATTATCTGTCAGTGGGATCATGCAACATTGGATTTTGTTTCATTTTAAGTCCAAGAAGTTGTTGTTTTTTGATGTTGATGTATTTTCATATTTTAAGTACAAAAAAAACTCATTCCGTTGGTAGATCGTTTTACTCGTCAAGTGAAATTTACTGAAATCGTGATAAAACTTTAATTCAAGTCATCTTAACTTGGCTAGATTTTAGTTTTTGCATTGTAATAAAAGTTTCTCCCTTGTTTTTACGGCATAGCGGACCGATAGTTGAGCCAGATGCCCTTCCTCATGTTCTGAAGTTCGATATGTTGCTGAAATTGAAACTGAAAATAATTTATGCCACTGATAAAATGACCCAAGAGCAGATTTAAACCCCAAAACAATATTGTAGATTTAGAATAGTTTAAGAAATCATGAGCTGCAGTGAAAAGTAGAATGAAACGTGGATTGATAGTTGTGCCAGATGCCCTCCCTCATGCAGTCGTTGTGTTTCCAGGTTAGGACCAGCTAAACAATGTCTTGTAACTTGATAATTTTAGGTATTATAACGTAATTTAAATTTACCAATGTGGCCAGTTTGGTTTAAATATAACTACTTTTGTTGTATTTATTAAATGGCAGTAAAAAAAAATGCGTGAATGGCTGTTTAGTTAAAGCTCTATTGTACCACTCTTGCTCTAAAAGTATTTGTTTTTCATAGATTTGTAACTTTTATAATGAAATGGACAATTCCTTGTTTATACTTTGAATATCTGTGTTTATTTTATATGATATGCAGAGTTTCATTTTCATGTTTGCAAACCGATGCAGTGTCTAGTTCTCGTAGTCGTTTTCTGACTTTATAATGTTTGTACTGTGAAAACCTCTCTTCTGTAAATATTCTGTTTTTGAACATGTTTATTTTGAATATTTTCACTGGTGTTTTATAAATAAAATATTTGCTAAGTAACCTGGTGTGATGTGTGTCTCTTCACTTGTAATTTGCCTTCGGAAGTAAAAAGCAGAACAGGTGATGAAGGGCAGCCCCTGTTTGTTTGGTTTTTTTTGTTTGTTTTTTTTCACTTTTCCTCAGTATAATATTTGACACTTATGGTTTACTACCTTTATTTCATGAGTAACTTTTTACAATAATCCATGTATCATTCGTTCATTTATTTTTCAGTATAAAACCAAAAATAAGAAAACAAAAAAACAACAGTTTTCTTCATTATTTGTCTTCAAAACCAAAATGAAAAAACTTTTTTTTTTTTCAGTTTTCGATTTAAATGAATAATGGAAAAAATGGATAACGGCCGTTTCCAGTTTCCGTGACTTAAACTGCGATGCCGGACTGAACTAGGACTGAAAAAGGACTAAAACAGGACTAAACAGGACTAAACCAGGACTAAACCAAGACTAAACCGTTTTCAGTCCTGGTCTGTTCCCGGTCTCAGTCCCGGTCCCGGCCTCAGTCTTGGTCTGGTCCCAGTCTCAGTCTCGGTCTAGTTCTGGTCTGGTCCCGGCCTCAGTCTTGGTCTGGTCCCAGTCTCAGTCTCGGTCTAGTTCTGGTCTGGTCCCGGCCTCAGTCTTGGTCTGGTCCCAGTCTCAGTCTCGGTCTAGTCCTGGTCTGGTCATGGTCTCAGTCCCGGTCCCGGTCCCGGTCCCGGTCTCGGTCTGGTCCTGGTCTGGTCCCAGCCTCGGTCCCAGCCTCGGTCCCAGCCTCGGTCCAGGCCTCAGTCCCGATCCCAGTCCTGGTCCTGTTCCCGGTCTCAGTCCTGGTCTGGTCCCAGACCTGGTTGAGTCCTGGTCTAGTCCTTTAACCGTTTTTTCCATTTTTCATTTAAACACAAAATCGAAAACTGAAAAAATGAATCGTTATCTGTTTTTTCAATTTGGTTTTGAAGACAAATAATGACGAAAATTGTTGTTTTTTTCTTTTTCTTATTTTTGCTTTTATATTGAAAAACAAATAAACGAATGACACACAGATTTTTAGAGTAACTGTTGTATTTGGAAGACAAAAGTACAGTATTCTTTTAGTCTTTAACAGAACAGGTGATAAAGGGCAGCCCTGCATTTTTTTTTTCCTCAGTATAACCTGTAACATTATGGTTTACTACCTTTTATTTCATGAGTAACTTTTTATAAACTTTAAAATATTAACAGGGTCCATATCAAATTTCCTACTCAAACACTGGCCACATTTACACGGCCAGTAAAATCAGATAACAACAGTATTAAGATAAACCAATAATTATCCGATTTTTGGTGTGTTTATATGCACACAAGAAATCTGATCATCAAAACACTTGGATTTTTAGAGTATTTGTTGTATCTGGAAGACAAAGTACAGTCCTCTTTCAATCTTTAACATTTTCTCTTTCTGTCTTTGCTGAACTAGTTTACACAAGTTTTTTTTTTGCATCATTTTCCTTGTCAAAACTTGTACAGATGTGAACAATCAGAAATAATCATCAGAGTATCACGCCAGAAGTAACTGTGTACATGACATTTGAATAATCTGATAACTCCAGAAATGAGACTATGATCAGAGTTATGGTGTGTATGTAAACATCAACAGTGTATTTTTTTTTTATAGAAAGATCTTGTACCTGAAGTTTAGACCTGTTTAATCTTCTTAAACTCACAGGATTCTTGTATTAGTTCATTCATTCTTATTTCAGTCCTTTCTCAAATTCTCTCAAAACTCTCCTGGACTTGTTTACAGTGTGTACGCTGAAGAGAATCCTACATACACCGAATTGCAAGAGTTAAAAATCACAATTGTATACATAATTATAAATAGATAATGTTTAGTTTGGTTATCAGTGTTGGTGCAAATAAGTAGGACACAGTTCAGGTGGATTCTTGTTTTATTGCCTTCAGTCCGGCACAGCCTTTCCTCAGTTCCTGCTCATAGTCTGTAAAAACAAAGGTGCACTTCCTGTTTAGTTTGTCAATAAAGTCACATACAAAACATTAAGGCAGATGCTATTTGCACCCTGGGTGTAAACAGTTAACATTGTTATTCACACATAGGGCAAATAGCCATTGTTGCTATTTACACCTGGGTGTATTAAGTGTGGCACATAGAAGGGCACCCGGGTGTTCCTAGACAAAAATGCTATTTACACCCAGGTTATTTATAAAAAAAAAAAACAAAAAAAACTCACTGACAGTACAAACATAAATGCACCAGCCCAGTGAAAATCAGTAATATTTGATGTTTTTTTTACTCAAAATGATACGAAATCATTGATCAATCAATCGCAGTCTGCGCCTAATGGTTTAGTCCCGGTTAAATCTTGTTTTAGTCCTGTTTTAATCCTGGTTTAGACTTGGTTTTAGTCCTGATTTTAGTCCTGGTTTAGAACTGGTTTTAGTTCTGGGGGGTCTGCCAGTTGTTTGTCTCCATGGAGATGCCATTGCTTTACCTGAAATGTTCCACCATATGGCATTAAACGTTAATCTATCTTTCATTTAATACAAACAGGTGTTTTCATTGTCAAAAGGAATACCCCAAGAAACATGTATTCTTACTATTCACAGATCTGACCTGCTTGATTACACAGAGATCAATTTATTTAATGCCATACTGTGGAACATTTCAGTCAAAGTACAAGCAAGACAAGCAAGCGGCAGATTATACATCAGAAAAGTTACACAGTGCATCTTTAAAGGTCCTAAATTTACTGACTCCTGTGAGCTTTAAGTCAAGTTATAATGTTGTTACCTCCTCAAAAACAAACCTGGAGTTGTATTTTGTTTCACATTTTGAGTTTGAGTAACACTTTATTCTTACTCTGCCTACATCTCCAAAGCTCAAAATGCCTGTTCCACCTTGTGATGTCATGTGTTGGTAGTTTTCAAGTTAACAGCTCCTTTTACCTTGTGTTCAGTAGAGATTTGGAATTCCAAGGCTGAAATTCTCCAAATGATTCTAGTGAAGGTGTATAGAGTTTAAAAACACAGGCTTTGTTAACACTGAAATGAATCACCGTATCGGAAATGATTTGTGTCCAGACACGTCGTTTCTGTGTCCACAAGCCTTCCTGATCCACACAGCTTTGAGCATATTTGTTTATGTTTTACAGAAACGAAACTTAAAACCCCATGGCTAATTTGTATAAACTGAGCGCTCAAAAAACAACTCGCTACTGTGTCTTGATGCGGTTCAGCTTCTGTTGGACTAAGGTTCGTATCAGGTTCAGACAGTATTAAAGTTGTGTTTAGTCCCAGTGCTTTCTTAAACCAAAAAAGCTCCTGTGTTCCGGCCGAGAGTTTTTGTCTCAGGTCGGGTCATTATTTCGTCCTCTGTTGGGTCACAGTCTGTGTTCTATAAAAGTCTATGGTCGCGGTGTGGACAGCTGAAGACCCTGCGCTACACCGGGTCCGGGAACGTGGCCGCGCTCGTGCACGAGTTTCAAATGAATAATATTGTGGAGAATAATGAGTGGAATAAACAGCCCTTCTCCTTATTTTGGCGACCCAAACACTTAAAATGCACAAATCTGAAGGTAATTCTTTTATAAACGTGGATTTTCTGATGAATTCCTGATCAAACTCTTCCTCAAACTCTCTTCACTTCTAGCTTCTCTCCACGAGTGTCGCTTTTCCCCCGTGTCTCCAGACTTACAGGAGGTCCAGAGTTGGCGTAGAGTTAAGCAAAGCGCCACGCCTTAGTCGACTTTCATAAATACCGCGGTTGGCGTAGAGAGCGCGTATGCAAGGATTTGTGCGTAAGCGAGCTTTATAAATGAGGCCCCAGATCTGTACTCAGATGAATTTGTGGAAGCTGGCAGCACCAGATTGTTCCGTTTCTGGAGCTGTTTTCCATCGGATTAGGTGGACGAACACTGCATCTGCAACAAAAATGACTCAAATACACACTACAGTGGATGGGGCCACAGTGGAGCACTTTCTGTATTACCGCATGACATCACAAGGTGGAACAGAGTGATTTCTGTTTGAGAAAAAAACTAAATATGCAGGGTTTGTGTGTTAAACATGTGAATGAAACAAAACACAGCTCCTGCTATGTTCTTGATGAGGAAACAACATTGTCAAATAGATGAGAGAATAGTGTAATGTGGGCCTTTAATGTTCTTTCAGCTCTTGTCTTGTTACAGATGTAAAAGCTTTGACTCACGGAGCTGATCCAGGCGTTGTAGGCGCTGACTCTTGTGAAGACACTGGGCTTCTGGACCACGTTACAGCCCTGACCCGAACCGAAGCTCACCACCCCATGGACCTCCCAGGACCCATCAGAGCCCTGGCAGTTCAGAGGACCACCTGAGTCTCCCTGTAGAGGCAGAGGAAGAGGAAAGCAGCACGTCAAAAGCATTGTTTCTTCACAGGGCCTATATTACTGTAATTTCCGGAGCCTCTACTTTTGTCTCACACTTTGAACCCTGCGGCTAATAAAACGATGCGGCGAATATACAGACAGATTATTTGTTTGGCACATTGTCCATTTATATTTACAGTCTATGATTTGGCAACACAGCAGATGTTTGTGCAGCTTGAGTGCAGAAAACACCACTGTCTGTGTGTTTAACACTAGAACAGCTTATTGCTGTGTGATAAAATAAGTTATGATGCTAAATAAACATTAGTGACTGGGATATGTTTTACCCGGATGTGTAAATGACGAGAAGAAACGTCTCAAACTACAGTAGCCGGACATCCGCTCATACCTGTTCAACACAACTAGCCCCACCCCCTGAGAGTCTGAAATCTGCTGAAATCCTCCAAGACACTGACATGATACAGACACGACAGAGGCTCTTTCTGCAGGAGACATGCGCAGTAGAGCGTGGGGAGAGATGGGGATGATGCACCGAGAAGATGCTGTTTGATTGTGTTTTGAACAGTTATTTTGAGCTTCATACACACACCGTCCTCATGAAAACACACGAAGAGATGCAGATGATGCAGCTTTTAAGTTAAAGGAGATTGATGTGGCTGTCGAAGAAGGAAACAGAGCTGCTGCACGTGAGCTCGGCATCAGTGAGTCGACGGTGAGATTTTGGCAGCGCGACGAACTGACTCAACGCAAAAAGACGACAAAAGCTTTCAGAGGCGATAAAAGCAGACGACCCGAACTTGAAAACGTTCTTGAAGACGTAGACACCTGCGGCTTATATTCAGGTGCGGCCTATATATGTACAATTTTAAAATTTAGTTAAAATTTAGTTGATGCAGCTTATATTCAGACGCACTCAATAGTCCAGAAATTACTGTACGCAAAATTGAGCTTTAAGTCGTGTTATAATGTTTTGTTTCATTCACACATGTTTGAGTAAACCTGTGTTATTAGTCTGCCTACATCCCCAAAGCTGAAAATTCTCTGCTCCACCTTGTGATGTCATGAAGTTAACAGCTTCTTTTACCTTTAATTCAGTAGAGATTACAAATTCCAGGCCTGAAATTATCCAAATGATTCTAGTGAAGGTGTATAGCGTTTAAAAACACACTGGAGCACTTCCTGTTTAATCATATGACATCACAAGGTGGCACAAAGTTTCAGAGAACTCAGCCTAAATATTAAGGGTTTGTGTGTTAAACATATTTGAATGAAACAAAACACAACTCCCAGTTTGATTGTGATGAGAAAACAACATTGGAAATAACATAGATCAGAAAATAGTGGAATATGGACCTTTTTAAATAATGACTAAATGATCATCTGGATTTCTAACATGATAATCTATTATATTTTTATTTTATTCATGATGACAACAGCTAAAACACAAATTTGTTGTCTCATTCGTAACTCTAAAATCTGATATTGTGAGATCCGCCTCCCTGCTGATTTTGAATAAATATATATATAAAAAAAACATTGTCCAGTTGACAGAAGTGAATTTTTCTTTTGCGCTGGATTCTACCTGGACCACAGAGGGATCACACGGATATTTTGAGTATAATATAAAAGTCTAGTGTGGTAAATCCACTGTCTGTCACACTCACCATACAGGAGCCCTTGACGCCATCTCCTCCAGCACACACCATGTCTCTGGTGAGGAGGAAGCTCCACCAGTCGTCCTGAGAGCAGATCTCAAAGGACACCACAGGGAGGAGGGCCTGCTGCAGGATAACGGCCCCGGGGCCCATAGCTGTGGGGGAGGGGAAGAGAGGACAGAGGTCAAAGAAACAACTGGAGCTAAGAGGTTTTCTTCTTTAAAGGGCCAATATTACAAATTAACTTAGTACTGCAAGTTGTTTTTTTTTTTTTATCTACCTTGATAAAGCCAAATATTAAATATTAAGTGTGTAGTTTTAAGGATCTTAGCATGAATAAATAAGCATGAGCACCAGTGTACGGCCCTCGATCAGCCCTCTGCTTCATCTGTGTTTAGATATGTGGCCCTTGATGAAAAAAGTGTAGACACCCCTGGGTTAAACCAAGACAAAAACATGTCTTAAAGGTCCTATATTACTCTAAATTGACTCTTGTAATACTTAATCCATGTTATAATGTTGTCTCCTCCTCTATAATTTCAAAATAATCATGAATTTGGTTTTATTGTCTTGTAAATTTGCGTACATGCTTTGTTATGTTTTGTTTTCACAGGTAATAACATTGCTGTATATTGGTGTGTTTGTCCTACTGACTGGTGAGGCGACCCCAGCCGGTGACGAAGCAGGGAGCTCCATCGGGCAGAACAGCGCCCGCTGGTGGCAGACAGGCAGGTTGGATGGTGTCAGAGAAGGTGACGGGTCTCTCCAGCTTCAGCAGAGCAATGTCATTTCTGTCAGAGAAATTTCAATGTGAAAAGACAATTACTGAAAGACATTTAATCTGCAAACAAGAATCCTTAAAGGGCCAATATTAGACTATTTTCTGATCTATGTTATAACGTTTCCTCATCACAAACAGACCTGGAGTTGTGTTTTGTTTCATTCACACATGTTTAACAAACAAACTCTTAATATTTAGGCTGAGTTCTTTAAAAACACAAAGGAGCACTCTTTGTATTACATTACATCACGTAGAAGAAAAAAAAAAGATTTATACATGGTGGGAAATACATTTGTATATTACTGAACATGTTTTGGAGATATGAAAGTGCTATATTATACAAAATTGACACTTGGGAGCTTAAGCCCATGTTATAATGTTGTTACCTTCTCAAAAACATACCAGGACTTGTTGTGTAATCCTGCATTAGTCTGTCTACATCTCCAAATCTTAAAATGCTCTGTTCCACCTTGTGATGTCATGAAGTGGGAGTTTTCAAGTTAACAGCTCCTTTTACCTTTAGTTTAGTAGAGATTGGCAGTTCCAGGGCTGAAATTATCCAAATGATTCCAGTGAAGATGTATAGAGTTTAAAAACACAGTGGAGCACTTCCTTTTGATGAGGAAACAACATTATAACATGGATCAGAAAATTGCAAAATAATTGTCTTTTAATCTACAGACAGGAGTAATTAATGTTGACACCCAGAAAACATTTGTGATGTTGTTAACTTTGCTTAAACGACACAACTTCCGGGTAATAAACTCACAAATCTGTTTTACTGAAATTATTGTTTCAAATATATTAAACATTTGAAGATTGAAAATATGTTTGAGAAAATTCAATTTTAAAAAGATTAAACTTACAGCTTTATATTTCATGATTCAGTCACTCCACATCTGCTGGTGGTAAGTTACTATTGTGGCCACATCTGCCCTGGGGCAGACTGACAGAAGTGAGGCTGCCAATCCACACTCTCGGCCTCTCTGACCAACACTCTCACACACAACTTTCATGCTAGGCAAAGTGGGTGAAGTGTCTTGCCTAAGGACACAACAACAGTGTGCACTAAGGCCCCCGCTGCCCCACTGTGGCTCCTGGTGTTCTCAGTGGTCTCCAGTGCAAGTTCTGACCTACTTATCGTGGACAGTATTGACACATTATAACAAGAAATTTATTTAACATTTTTTCAGAAATTTTATGAGTACGGTGGTGTATTGCTATCACTCCCCAAAAAATATTTCGGCTCAGTATCACGTAATTACGTGAAAAGTTTCACGTTATAACGTGATATTTTTCACGTTATAACGTGAAATTATCACGTTATTTCATGATATGAAATTATCACGTTATTTCGTGATGTGGTATTTTCACGTTATAACGTGAAATTATCACGTTATATAACGTGATACGAAATTATCACGTTATTACATGATATGAATTTATCACGTTATTTCGTGTTACGCATTTATCACGTTATTACATGATATTTTCACGTTATAACGTGAAAACGTCAAGTATGGTTTTACGTGATTTCATTATAAGATCAGCCACAGCCAAACCACGCTTCCCTCGGTCCAGTCAACTCCAGCCTGAGCATGGCCCACGCTGAAAATGTGGATTCTCCACTCTTGAGATTACTTCGGGCTCGTGTTGTCTCCTTCGCATGAAGCAAGATCGTGTAAGTGTATTTTACTGTTTCGTCCCCAAGTTGTGTTGTCGTACGGTAGCAGAATGCTCTGTAAGCAACTGCTGAATATTAGAGCTGGAGCGAGTTGTTCGCTGTGGGTAGAGCTGCTAAAAGTACCTAGTCTGTTTGAAATTCTGTTATAGCTCCTAAGAATTAGTTAAAGACAAAAGCATTCATTTGACACATTTCGGTGTTTCCAGTTATTTATGAATAATGACCATAAAACATTGTTGACTGTTGCACTCAGACATAGACAGTGTAAGAGAAGGTTATTCAGAAAATGTGGTGTAGTTAAGCTAAGCTAAGTCCCGCTTCAACTCATCTGAGCCCGGCCTGGGCAGGGGAACAGCGCTCACAGGTCCCGGTGCTCCTCCGGTTCAGGCCGGGCTCAGATGATCTGGAGCGGGGAGTGGTTAGGTGCCTCGGCCTGAGAAGCGCTTTTCTCGAGAAGAACCAAGTGCACGGAGGCTCAGAACAGTAACGAACCAGACCGGATTCGCGCTTCTGTCCGGATGCTTTACTCCACCTCAGAACCAGCCGCAACGCTACACCGGAGCAACCCGCACGGACCTAGAGTTCACTGCGCATTCTCGCTTTCCCCGCACGGAACCAGCACGCAGAGGACGGGAACCGCTCAGCGATGTCTTTACTGCTGTTGGCTGCTGCTGTTACCCGAACTCAGAGCTTCTGGGCTGATGTGCAGCGAGTTGTGTACAAAGTTATAGGCTACATGTGCTGTTTTATGAGTTTATGATGATAACTTGGGATGAGGACGGCCGTGGTGTTTTATGGTCTTTATTCATGAAGAACTTGAAACACCGACATGTGTCAAACGAATGCTTTTGTCATTAACTATGGAGCTATAACAGAATTGCAATTTTAGCAGCTCTTTGCCCACAGCGAACGACTCGCTACAGCACTCGTTCAGCAGTTGCTTACTGAACATTCTGATATCTTGAGGACGAAACAGTAAAATACTCTTACAAGATCTCGAGTATAATTCTGATCCTTTAATATTTCCTAATGACTGCTACAACACATACAGGCCGACTGTACTGATGCTGGATTATGATGTTTCCATGGTATTTGAACATTTTGGAAGGTCATATTTTTCAGCGAAAGAGAATTGAGCTTGGACACAACATGTTTACTTTCAAAATGATTAAAAAAAACAAAATTCTGTTATCGTCGCCGTGGCTCCGTTGACATCTTGTTTTGGGGAAAGGTCGGTTAAGATTGTCATTTCACTCAGAGACAGTACAGAAAGCAGCATTTCACGAGCTCTCCTCAACATTTAATTACCAAGCGAACAGAAGCTTCAACGACCTGAAGATACACGAGGTAAGTGATCAGTTTTGCCATGAATTCAACACAAGACAAATGCAAAAAAACACACACTGCACTGGTCGGGCAGAGTTTCAGCAAGTTTTGGTCGGTTATGTTGTTTCTACACAAGTTTTAATGAAATATACGTGGTGATACTTCAAAATAACATGTCTCAAGTACATGTGAGTACTGTTCTAAGAAAATACTCAAGTAAGAGTGAAAAGTTTTTGGGGAAACTAGTTGTCATGTAAAAGTAATTGTAGTGTAACTGTCTAGACATGACGTCTGATTTAAAATTTGTAGTTTTGAAGGACTAAATACTTAAAAATCTGGTGTAATCAAAGGACAGATTGTAGACAGTGCTTTTAAAACACCATAAAACAGTTATGTGTGAGTGGTTATGCAGTTTAAAGTGCAAAATATGACCTGGAAAGTATATGTTGGCACTTAACTATGCAAAGTTAAAAAGTATTTGTGTTTTTACAGATATCCATCCACAACATGAAAATAAAGGCCAAGGATAAGGTGCTGGATGAAATGGCCGGCCAAATAGAAGCCATGTTGGACGGTCAAATCAGTATGTACCCTGATGTAAACCTACCAACACTGGACTCTTCAGAGAAACCAGGGCCCTCTAAATCACCCATCCTTGAATCATCTTCAGACCGGGATGAAGATGAGATAGACGACAAAACAGAGGCCATGATGGATCGACAGCTCATCATGTACCCTGACAACGTACCATCACTGGACTGTCCAGAGAAACCAGGGCCCTCAAACTCACATGGACCTGCATCAAAGAAGAGCTTCTGCTCTTCTCGGCACAGTCCATATTCCAAACCTGAGGCAAAACAAGCAAAAGCTAAAAGAAAATCACCTCCTAGCCCCACGCCGTCTACAACCGAGGTAAGTTACACCACAGGAGACAGTTAAAACTTCTGCTGGGTCTTTCTTTAAAATATCAGCCATAAAAAGACAGTAGCTCAGTTGGTAGAGCGTTTGCCCACTGATCCGAAGGTCAGTGGTTCGAATACCGCTCTCCACAGATCCACTGATGTGATTCCAGCTCCCACAGATGAATGTCGTTGTGTCCCTGGGCAAGACACTTAACCCACCTCGCCCCCAGTGTCTGCGTACACTGGTGTATGAAAGTGGAGAAGCGCTATATAATATATTCACCGATCCGAAGGTTGGCGGTGCGAATCCTGCTCTCGACATGAACATAATAGGTTGAGCGGTCAGTTGGTGGTGCGATTCCAGCTCCTTGGGCAAGACACTTAACCCACCTCGCCCCCAGAGTCTGAATGTGTGTGTGAATGGGTGAGTGATTCCTTCATGTAAAGTGCCTTGAATGTGGAAATGCACGATATAAAAATGTGACCATTCACCAAAACAGTTGTTAGATAAATTAAAGTGTTTTTTCTTAGAAGTTAGAGCCCAGCACACGTTTACTTTTGGTGTTTTTAGTTGTGCAAAGTAAAAAAAAATAATAATAATAATTAAAGCCGCGCACGGCGATGGTGGCCCTCGCCCCGGGCGCGCACCGCCCCCCCTGGCGAATGCCGGGGACTCGCGACCGCCCCGACACACCGCTCTCTCTTCCCGACAGCTCCCGAGGCCAACAGCTCGTCCACCAGAAAAATGACATAGTGTACCTTTAAAATTGGATAAAGTGAATGATTCTAGAGACAAACTGTAGACACTAAGCCACAGGTCACGTGACTTTAATGGTCAAGAGCACTGTCACACTAAGACTAAGTGCATGAAAACACATCCTCCACCAGAAAAGTTACATAGTGTGCCTTTAAATTTCTCAGAAGTGAAATTATTCTAGAGGCAAAAGTGTAAAACTAGGGCATAGGTCTTACTGACTTTTATGATGAGGAGTACGTCAGTGAATGTTTTGGCAAAGTTTTACAAATGAATGTAAAACAAATTTTATGTCACACAATAATAAATTGTGTGCATTCATATAGGTGGCGCTGTATCCCTGATAACTGTATATGACATATCAATGGAATAAGGGTCATGCAGTGTATAACTGATAGAAATTTCATCACAATCGGACAAAACATGTGCATATAATAATTTTTACAATATTTTTGGGGGGATTCTCTGTGCCCCTGCTGGCCAACCGTGAAAAATACACCATGACTGTAATAGACATTTTTGCTTATAATCATGCAAAGAATTTATTCCCCGACTTTGGTCCAAGTCCGATAATATTGACATTTCATGTCTAAGGTAGGGGGCGCTATACTGTTCACTTTTCATATGTTTTATAGTTTATTATATTCAGACCAATATCCCGCATTAGTGATTCAAATTTCAGCACAATCGAACTAAGCATGTCCCTGTAATAATTTTAAAAATATTTTTTGGGGGATTCTTTGCGCCCCTACTGGCAAACCGTGAAAAATGCATCATGTCCGTAGTAGACTTTTGTGCTTGCATTCATACATAGAATTTAATCCCCAAATTTGGTACAAATCCGATAATGTTAAAATTTCATGTCTATGGTAGGGGGCGCTATAGAGTTCATTCTTCATATGTTTTAAAGTGTATTATATTCAGGTCATGATCAGGCATTAGTGATTCAAATTTCAGCACGATCGGACTAACCCTGTGGGTGTAATTATTTTTTAACTATTTTTTGGGGGAGTCTTTGCGCCCCTGCTGGCCAATAGTGAAAAATGCACCATGTCCGTAATAGACTTTTTTGCTTGTAATCATACATAGAATTTATGTCCCGAATTTGGTACTAATCCGATAATGTTGACGTTTCACGTCTATGCTAGGGGGCGCTATAGAGTTCACTTTTATTAAATTTCATATTTCATCACATTCAGGCCTGGATCACGCAATTGCGATTTGAATTTGAGCTCTCTAGGACAATGCCTGTGGCCGTGACAGGTCTCCGAAAAAACAGGAAATGAAGGCGTTATTCGCCGGCGTGCTACGGGCGAACCGTAAGGAGTATCCCAAAAAACATGGAAGATTTGAGTGAAGCTATGTCTGTAGATGTGACATGTCAAATCTGAACTCATTTGGACCATTCCCTCCGTTACCGACATGAGTTTTTAAATTTTTTGTCAACAACTTGAAAGAATATCACAGGTTTAACTTTACCCTGTTGGAGTGTAACTCTTTCCTACATTCTGATACTTTACTTATTTCAATAGTCCCTCTAGTTTCTGAATGAGAACTATTTGAATGTCAACAATCTACTATGTTATACCTCGTTATAAAGCTTAGACTCTCTACATTCTGTTCATTTAATCCAATTTACAGACAGATAAATGTCCTAATATGTGGCTCCACATCAGTATTTATCTACGGAGTCATTTGTCTGTGTGTGTCTGTACTGTCCCTGAACATATCACAGAGTCGTCACTCACATGTGTTTGTTTAGACCTGCAGACACAGATCCAAACACTGAGATTATATTCTTTTTACGGACAATTGGTTTGAGTCTGGATTAAAAGGACATTTATTAGTGCAGAATTGTGATGTGAGGAGGAGCCTGTAGCAAGATCTTGTAAGAGTATTTTACTGTTTCGTCCTCAAGATAGCAGAATGTTCGGTAAGCAACTGCTGAACGAGTGCTGTAGCGAGTCGTTCGCTGTGGGCAAAGAGCTGCTAAAATTGCAATTCTGTTATAGCTCCATTGTTAATGACAAAAGCATTCGTTTGACACATGTCGGTGTTTCAAGTTCTTCATGAATAAAGACCATAAAACACCACGGCCGTCCTCATCCCAAGTTATCATCATAAACTCATAAAACAGCACATGTAGCCTATAACTTTGTACACAACTCGCTGCACATCAGCCCAGAAGCTCTGAGTTCGGGTAACAGCAGCAGCCAACAGCAGTAAAGACATCGCTGAGCGGTTCCCGTCCTCTGCGCGCTGGTTCCCGTGCGGGGAAAGCGAGAATGCGCAGTGAACTCTAGGTCCGTGCGGGTTGCTCCGGTGTAGCGTTGCGGCTGGTTCTGAGGTGGAGTAAAGCATCCGGACAGAAGCGCGAATCCGGTCTGGTTCGTTACTGTTCTGAGCCTCCTCCGTGCACTTGGTTCTTCTCGAGAAAAGCGCTTCTCAGGCCGAGGCACCTAACCACTCCCCGCTCCAGGTCATCTGAGCCCAGCCTGAACCGGAGGAGCACAGGGACCTCTGAGCGCTGTTCCCCTGCCCAGGCCGGGCTCAGATGAGTTGAAGTGGGGCTTAGCTTAGCTAACTACACCACATTTTCTGAATAGCATTCTCTTACACTGGCTATGTCTGAGTGCATACAGTCAACAATGTTTTATGGTCATTATTCATAAATAACTGGAAACACCGAAATGTGTCAAATGAATGCTTTTGTCTTTAACTAATTCTTAGGAGCTATAACAGAATTGCAAACAGACTAGGCTACTTTTAACAGCTCTACCCACAGCGAACAACTCGCTACAGCTCTAATATTCAGCAGTTGCTTACAGAGAATCCGTGTATCATTCGTTCATTCGTTTTTCAATATAAAACCAAAAATAAGAAAACGAAAAAACAACAGTTTTCTTCGTTATTTGTCTCCAAAACCAAAATGAAAAAAACGGATAACGATTCATTTTTTCAGTTTTCGATTTTGTGTTTAAATGAAGAATGGAAAAAACGGATAACGGCCGTTTCCCGTTTACGTGACTTCCGTGACTGCGATGCCGGACTTTTGCACAGCATACGGACTGAATCAGGACGGATCCAGGTCCGAGACCAGACCGGGACCAGAGCGGGACTGAGACCGGGACCAGACAGGGACCAGAGCTGGACCAGAGCGGGAGCAGGGCGGACTCCGAGCTTTGACTCCGAGCCTCCACGGGGTCCGAGCCTCAGCTTCGAGCTCCGGCCCTGCCGTGGGCTCTGAGCCTCCGGTCTGGTCCCGGACCTAGTCCATTTGAACCAAAAGCTCTTAGTTTGATTCATTTTCATTGGTGTGAATGCATCAGTCGGATGCTTTGCACCACCTCGGAACCAGCCGCGGTTCTTGAGCGCAGAGGACCAGAGCAGCTCTGTCCCGGTCTCAGTCCCGCTCTGGTCTCGGTCTGGTCTCGGACCTGGATCCGTCCTGATTCAGTCCGTATGTGGTGCAAAAGTCCGGCATCACAGTCACGGAAGTCACGTAAACGGGAAACGGCCGTTATCAGTTTTTTCCATTCTTCATTTAAACACAAAATTGAAAACTGAAAAAACGAATCGTTATCCGTTTTTTCATTTTGGTTTTGGAGACAAATAGCGAAGAAAACTGTTGTTTTTTCTTTTTCTTATTTTTGGCTTTATATTGAAAAACGAATGAACGAATGATACACGGATTACAGAGCATTCTGCTACCGTACGCTAACACAACTTGGGGACGAAACAGTAAAATACACTTACACGATCTTGCTTCATGCGAAGGAGACAACACGAGCCCAAAGTAATCTCAAGAGTGGAGAATCCACATTTTCAGCGTGGGCCATGCTCAGGCTGGAGTTGACTGGACCGAGGGAAGCGTGGTTTGGCTGTGGCTGATCTTATAATGAAATCACGTAAAACCATACTTGACGTTTTCACGTTATAACGTGAAAATATCATGTAATAACGTGATAAATGCCTATCACGAAATAACATGATAAATTCATATCATGTAATAACGTGATAAATGCTTATCACGAAATAACGTGATAATTTCGTATCACGTAATAACGTGATAATTTCGTATCAAAATTTCACGTTATAACGTGAAAATAGCACATCACGAAATAACGTGATAATTTCATATCATGAAATAACGTGATAATTTCACGTTATAACGTGAAAAATATCACGTTATAACGTGAAACTTTTCACGTAATTACGTAATACTGAGCCGAAATATTTTTTGGGGAGTGATAGCAATACACCACCGTATGTGAGCACCTCATCACTCAAAAAACAAAATTCAACTTGAGCACGATAATGAGAACAAAACATTGGCCTCCAAAACTCCAAAAGTCAATTTTATATCATGTCTTTAAATCTTAAGCACATTTACAGGTGAGTTTAATCACGTTTCTGATTTCAGACAAATATGGACTCTCTTCTGTGCCTCATATTCCTGTGTTAGTGTCTGGTGTTGTGTTACCGGCTCAGATGGTCGTGGTACTTGGGGTGCTTGATGTCCTTGGCCACGCTCAGAGTGATGGAGCCGTCCTCTTCCTCCTCCAGACTGTGCTTCCCCAGCTGCACACGGTAACTGTACCCATCCCTGTCACACACAACACCACAAACACACATCAGTCATGTCGTTTACAAAAATATTGTCTTTAACTTTAGGGCTAATAATAATGCAAACAAAAGGATCAATCTGAAAACTTGAGTCTTGATCATAGATTGTAAATATAAATGGACAAATAGGAAGTGAATATGGGGGCGCTTCTGGCTCCATCGACTTTGGCTCCAGTTAACTTATTAACCTTAGTCTATGGTATCGATTCAATACCAATACTCATTTGTATTGATATATTGATACTTAGGATCGATACACAGCCCTGCACAACAGTCCAATACACTGTAAAATCTAACACTAGGGTTCACGTGCATTCAGCTCGTTTACTTTACTCACAGCAACAAATTTGTGGATCTGAATGATTGGGTAACGTAACAGTGACGTTCAGGGTGAAAAAAAAAAGCACAGAACTTGTCAATTAGACTAAAGTCAACTTGAATGAGACGAGTAACTTAAACAGTGACGTATTATTGCCAAGAGTTCAGCTCCGTTTCCCAGTCTGTTCCGGTCCTCCTTTTGCTACTTCCCTGTTTTTCCTACAGAATCCTCCCAGGGCGTCTCTGTATCCTCCCTCTGTTCATTCAGTCTTTCCCAGGTTACACCTCTACACTTGTTTTGTTTCTTCCAACATTTTCAGAGACCTAAGTGAGGGGACTTTGGTTATGTTGACATGGAATGACCGAGCTTTATTTTTTTTATTCTTACACATGTTATGATGTGTTTGAACTTAAGTTGAACAAAAGTTTTTGCTTGTTTTTTACACAGACTAATAACTATTAAAGTCCTTGTACCTGCATTATTTGAATCTTACTCTAACTGTTTTTTGTAAGTAACATTTGCTCAATTCAAGGCAAACAATTCCCATGTTTTTTTTTCAAGTAAGATGAACTTACTCTTAAAATAAAGGTTACTACATATTTCAGATTTGAGGATCTGACTGATGACTTGGCACAGCTTCACAACACGAGTTCTATTAATGAAAACTAAAGTTCACTTCACTTGCTGTGCCTAGTTAGATGAAAGAGGAATATACTGTAGACTACACTGAGGAATTACTTGTAAGTTCAGCTTTAGATTCAAGACAATCACTTTCCTAGGTTTTTTCAAGTAAGACTAACTTATTAGACTTTACAGTGTACAGAAAAATACTGTAAAAATGCAGTTTTTGTACTGCTGTATTGCACAATTGAAATAAATATCACAGTGTTGGTAAACACAACGTCCATGTCACTAGAAAATAAACATAGCAGGTTCTCTGTTTGAATTCTCAGTCTATTTCACTTATTATGATGACTTCAAAAATGGTTAAAATGTACTCGAGTATAATTCTGATCCTTTAATATTTCCTAATGACTGCTACAACACATACAGGCCGACTGTACTGATGCTGGATTATGATGTTTCCATGCATACATATCCAAAGATCAAAATGTTGTTCCACCTTGTGATGTCATGAAGCGGTAGTTTAGTTGGTAGTGGAGCACTTGATGTATTATCTCATGACATCAAAAGGTGGAACCGAGTGTTTTCTGTTTTCTGAGAGAAGAACTCTGCAGGGTTTGTGTGTTAAACATGTGTGAATGAAACAAAACACAACTCCAGGTCTGTTTGTGAAGAGGAAACAATATTATAACAGAAAATGGCCTGATATGAGCCATTTAACTTTAAATTTAACTGTCTGTCAGTGAACCTACTTACTTACAAACTTATTTATTGTTTACAGGATGGAAAATAACATCAACAAACCTTATATAAAGAAACCCCCTAACGCCTTCATGATTTTTAAGGCTGAGCAGCGAGAGATAATCATGAAGGAAGATTAATATTAGAAATTCGGCAGAAGTTAATAAAATCGCCGGGGAGAGATGGAAATCGCTCACGGACGAGGAACAAGCCCCGTACTATCAACAGGCAGGACTGGCCAAGAGGGAGCACCAGGCCATGTACCCAGACTGGTCTA